TCAAACAAGATTCATCAATTCCTAATCAAATTAACTCGCACAAGAACAAAAGAATCAATCCCGACAGATACGAATTAAATAAGAACAATCATCTCTTATCCTTAGCAATCATAATTAGCTACGTAAGATAAATTCAACACAAATAATCATCTCTCCCAAATCAACCATTATTCATGAATTAAATAAGAAAAAGAACTTACAATCAATCCAATTCCAAGTGTTCAATTCAAATTACAAGTTTAATCTTAAACCCAAATCAACCATTATTCATGAATTAAATAAGAGAAAGAACTTACAATCAATCTAATTCCAAGTGTTCAATTCATTGCGATCGCGATCTCATGTATATATATGCGAACTTGAGCTACGGCGTGAGGGATTGGTGCGCGGCGCGAGAGGAGTGGACTGGGTCATGGCAGATGTCGCACGTTGCAGCACGACGCGATGGAGGTGTTTGCCGCGGCGCGGCACAAGGCTCGCGGCGTGATGGAGCTGTTCGCCGCGGCACGACACAAGGAGCACGTCGTGATGGAGACATTCGCCACGGCGCGTCACAAGGCTCGTGGGGTGAGGGCATGGAACGACATTTTGTACGCCCGTGGTATATTCCGCGTGATGTGTCGCTGCATGAGGATAAGAGACGGCCGCAGCGTTCTGTGCTCCGCGGCGTGGTGCGTGGGCAGGCTTCACATCTTGGGCTCGTTTACGCTCGTCTGGACTTGAAATTTGATCACGTTTTCTCTTGTTTGATGCCAATGAAATGCTCTGTTTAATGATGCTCATCCGGTCCATTTATCGTGGAAAATAAATCCTCTCAAATCTTCCAACCTGCACATCAAAGACGAAGAAAATCTGGAAAAATACACGAGAAACACAAAGAAAAACGAAATAGAGCAAAAAACACAATAAACTACAAAACGAACTAAAACCCATCTAAAATACCTAATATGGGAAAAAAGAAAAGCAAAATGACAACGAAAAATACAACTTAAATGGAAAAAACATAAATCTCCGAACCGAACCGAACCAACTTTTTGGTACGGTTTCGGAGATCGAAGGGTTCTCCGAATTTCGGAACACGCTCACCCCTAGCTTGTATTAAATAATTAGACTACATCGATGATTGACTAAGATCCTCAAAATATTATTAACTAAATAAGCAACATCTTACGAGATTTACATGTATTTGTTCTTGGTTTGTTAGGATTTGATTCCGACATTATTAAGGAGATTCCCTTTCTCGGGGAAGAAGACATTAATCACTTATAAATATGGGATTCAGATAAATTTCTTAGACAATCTCTCAATATCTAAAAATTAGATGATACTTTCGGTAATTTTGAGATTGATTTGAGTGTCGGAGAGTCTAGCTCAAGACTTACCCCGGATGCTATTTTGCAGGCTAATTCGATTTGCAATTCGAGATGATTCGAGACGGTTTTACCAAAAATATTGATGAACAAATATTCCCTATACTTGATTTTCTTTTCAATTAATTTGGACAAAATTCACTAATAAACTCTTGAACACCATAATTAATAGAACAACATCAATACTAAAATGCACCAAACAACCATGTCCAAAGCAAAGCAACTAAAAAAACACCGTAAGCACATATATTTATGGGAAAAATTTTTTTTAATCTCAAAAAATATACCACTTTTAGAGTTTGCCATACAATTCTTTTTTTTTTCTTTTTTGGACAATTTGCCTTCCAATGTAGTAGAAACTGACATTTTGTCTCTTTGATTAAAACTCTAATATGGCACAAAGAGTTTTTAACTCAACTAATGATAAATTTTAAATTAACCTTTAAAATTGATTTATGACTTTTAAAGCCCATGCCGAGACAAACATAGTGAGGAATGGTTTGTCGATTCCTGAAAATTGATACCTCTATAATCGATCCACGAAGATAGTAGGAGCACGTGTGTATAGAATAAATTTCAATTCAAGTTTTTCGATAATCAAGATATCCGATTTTCGATTGGGAGGTGTCATTTGAAAGCTTGGAGGACGAGTTTTATATCGAAATAAATATTATGAAAATCCAACTGTCAGATTTTGGTTAGTAGCCTAAAAAAAGCTAACTATTGATCAGTAGTTTTCTAAATACTGATCAAAATCTGACCGTTGGATTTCCATAAGATTTACGCGTTATAAAATTGGTCCTACAAGCTTTAAATAACACCCCAAATCGAAAATCGGATATCTTGATTATCAGAAAACCTGGATTAAAATTTTTTCTATACACACGTGCTCCTACTATCTTCGTGGATCGATTATAGAGGTATCAATTTTCAGAATTCGACAAACCATACCTCATGTCGTTTGTCTAGCCATGGGCTTTAAAAGCCCTAAACCAATTTAGATTAATATATAATTTATTAATTGTGTTAAAAACTCTTTTGTGCCATATTAGGATTTTAATCGAGGAGGCAAATTGTCAGTTTCGATTACATTGGGAGGCGAATTGTAAAGAAAAAAAAATTGTATAGCAAACTTTAAAAATGACATACTTTAGGAGGTTAAAAAGAAATTCCCTATATTTATTATAGTTGGGATATTAATTAAAGTCTTTTTCATGTATCTGAAAAATATTACACTATATTTTATAAACTTGTGAATGGTGGTTGGAGGTTTTTTTTTTTTTCAAACGACAACTAAATATTTAAATAAACTCAAAGCCAAGTCTACACAGTAATCAAATGATCACAACTTACAAGGCCTATAATATAGACACAAGAAGCACGGAGAAGGTTGGACCTTCCCCAATGAGGCAATAAAGCCTAAACAATTGCACACCAAATTAAAAAATAGTCTCCACAATGACATTACAACACTGAATAAGACATTTAACATCAACTAAAATCGAATCGGTTCCCTCCAATGGCAAAGAGCTTCTGTTGATCTCTGCTACAAGTTCAGCTGATTCTAGAAGGAGGAAAATAATTTTGCACCTGTGCTCTCTAGCTTGTATCAAACTCCACCGGATAGCCAATAACCAAGGATGTGTGATATCATTAGCACCATGCAGAGTGCTCTGCCACTGGTGGGAATTTAAATCAATCTGCTCAAGAGTGCCGTCCACACACACATCTCCCTCACTACACAATGAAGCACCGAGAGTCATAAGGACTGACATACTTCAACCTGAAAATTGTCTTGATAAGAGAAGGAAGTTGATGGCCGTTTAGCTTGTGCAAACCACTCTAGCCACCAGCTCTGGCTTCTGCAACAATGAGTTGCTCATGAATCCAATCTTCTTTGTACAACCACTTCACATTACGGGTAATTCTTCTCATTTTATTCTGACTAAATGAGGAGCATGGGTAATAAGTGAAATTTAAAAGCATAATAAGGTCCTCAAAAGATCTGTTTTCGTCTTATGACTTCGTTGACACCACCACCACACCTGTGGCTTCAAATAACTTTATAGAATTCAACAACATGCTCATGCGATACATCCTCTTCAATTGAAAAATCCAGAATATTTGCATCAGCTCGCAATATATGGAAAATTAACCTCCTTCAAATATCCTCCCATGTTCAGATGCAAAGACAGATTAAAATGCAAAAAACCTAAATAGAACAAAATGAAGTACCCATCACTTGTCAAATATCAAATTGTTTCACTAATCAATAATTTATCGAGTATAGATATAGAATTCCCACAAACACAAGACGCGTGCAAAGTTTCCTCGAGTACAAGTACTGGCTTTCTTCCTCCATAAGCATAGATACAATAGTTCAAATTTTCTCTTTTCATAGTTATTCATAATTGCAGCTTTTTCTCCAGCTTCACCCCAAATCTGTTCATCTTTCCTAAAAACATACAAAATACCAGCTTTAATATTACATGTGTAACCAAATATTTAATAAGATTTCCATTCTAAACATTACCCTATATTATACCTATCAATGAGCTGACCACCAAAATGTATTAACAATTAATATGGGGCTCACATAGAAAACTCTGGGAGAGGACTGACTCCCGAATACTTGAGCTCCCATTGAGAGATCTCGTTTAGAGTCTTCAAGCGTGCATCTGAATATTAGGATTTAGATGAGGGAGTTGCTTTTAAAAAGGGGGATGATTTCTAGTTCTCCATATATAATACACACAAACACACACACACACACACACACACACACACACAGAGACACACACACAATCACTCAAGGTGTAGCTCAAATATTGAGCTAAGACTTCGAAATTGGTACCTTGAGAAAAGCTTGGTGCGTCTGTTATTTTCCAGCAGACTCACTTTATTATCATGAATTGCATGAATATCTTTAACTCAATTGCTAACTTCAGGCTGATATAAAAATCTTTCTAAACATATCAAAATAGTAGCTTTTGCGTTCTTGCCTTCAAACTGACTGCAATCATATTCAACAACGTATTCAAATTCTCAGTCACTAACGGCAAGTAGCAAAGCATATGCAGGGAAAACATCAACGATCAATCAGGTACATCCCAATTCACCACAAAGTGCAATTACATAACAATATAATTAGCATGATGAATTAAAGGAAATAAAATAAATAATGATATTCGTGTACATATAAGACAATGAAATTTATTTCACACATTATGCACCAGATATATCATTACATTGAAGCTCATTCATTCCACTAATCATCTCCCAAATACACACCTAGGATTTTTGTTCTTGAGAGCATAGCACCATATGCATCAACACGTCTCACTTGACATTATCCAGAAGTGGTCCAATAAGCAGTTATATAGTAGCAATCACTTCCTTGCCAGGAAATTCGTTCCAATATTACGAATGTTTCTTAAAAAAGTTTATTTGTTGCTATTTTCATAGAATATCTGTTGGTTTTATCAGTATTATAGACAATCAAAATGAAATGAATGTGAAAAACAATCAAAATTTAAAATATTTACATTTCAAGCAAGATATAGAACAAGAAAAGAAGGAAACAAAAGTTATCATACCACCAAAAGCTTAAGAATGTCCTAATCCCCTTTGCTAACTCCCTTTGTGGGCATAACGAATGCGGATATTCCTGCCATCCAGCAGCTACAAAAGCACGGAACACCATGAACAAAAAGTCCACTGAAATAGCTGAAGAAAATACATAAGCCTTTGAAAGGAAAACTTGTACAGGGTACTCAAAGCATACGTGGCCATCCCTTTCCTTCATGGCTTTGTTTGCCGCCTCCGCGGAAGAATATTTGACAAATCCATATCCTCTTGATTCCCCACTCACACGGTCACATATTACCTTAACTATAAACAACATGAAATGCGATTTTCATTTAAAAATAATGTACAAATTTAGCCCAAAGGTACGACGTAGGCTAATACAAACCTTCAATTAAATCACCAAATTCCTGAAATGTATCTTTTAAAACCTTTTCGTTCGTATTGCAAGAAAGTCCTGGAAAATAAAGAAGATTTTTCTTTTAATTCCATATAACTATGAAAAAAAAAAAGATAGTGTTATGCAATTAGTTATTAATCCAGATGCACATTTCTTAAAGCACATGTTTTTGCTTGATACCAGTTAGGTAATTATTAAACCACACCCTCTGTAGACTAAATAAAAGTGCACGTATGGGTGAAGTGAGCAATTCAAGGTAGTCACCAAAAACTTGTTTCATTTTCATTATTTTTCAAACTGGAACCAATGATCGAGAATAACATGAAGTGACGGGGTTTGGCCAAACTTTCGGATATAAAATGAAAATGTGATACTGGATGACACGTAAATAGTAAATTATTAAATGAATATGATTAGTTATTTAAATCACTGCACTAAAAAACCGGCCTAGGTGGTAGGCGCTGCCCGGCCGCCTCCGATTTTCATGAATCGGTTGAAAAATTCAGTCACGCGGCTAAGCGGCGCCTTGGCGGGTCTAGGCGCTCCTAGGCGAGCTCTGCGGCAATTTTCAGTTCTTCTTTTTAATACTAATTACATTATTTTGTTATCATGTTTTCTTTATAATATATTAATATTAATGTTTTCTTTATAATATATTAATATTATTATTTAGACTTAGGTGTGTGAATTTATTATAAGTTTAGATAATTTTATTTTGTAGGTAGTGAAAAAAATTAAAAAATAAGGTATCCTCTTATATATAATTCGGAACAGGCGAGCCTAAGTAGTAGCTTCTCACGCTTTGTAATCTTATGTGGTAAAATATTATGCTTTGTAATATGGCTCGGATAACAATTACTAATTTTTTATACCAAATTAGGTTTGTATTACCATATATACCAAATAATATCTTACTTTCCAATTTTTGTGCTTTGTCCATATAATCCTTTTATGTGTTTTAAATAAAACTAATGATGTATATAATAAATTAGCTTTGAGAATTTTAAATAATATTGTTAATTCACTT